ATGATGTAAAATGATTTGTATTAAACATAAAATAAATGGATCAATATGTGAGATTGAACGACGTTCTTTAAAAATGGTTGAAGCCATTTGAGATAAAAAATATTCAAATGAATCAATTGTTTTGAATGCATTTGAAATAGCACCATGTTCAAGAAGATCAATAACAATAGGTACACAAAAATTGTAAAGACCATTTTGAAGACCATCATTAAATTCAAATTCAATCTGCTCAGGATAGACGGAAAGAAGATAATCACGAAAGAAATTATACACAATTGGATAATTTGATTCTGAAAGATAAAATGACTTGAATTTTCAAGATATACTTGTCCATATTGATCAAAATTTGAGTAAGCGAATTTAGAAAAAAAAACTTTTCCGTGCTATCTCAACTGCAGAGATCGAATCGAATCGTGTTTTTTTTTTGAGAACCAAGTCGATCCTATCTCCATTAGATAAGGAAAACTTATGCATTATTGCTGTTTTAATTGTGAGTAAATCGAAATACGGTAAACTTTCACATAGACTAGATTAAGGAAACTTTGATTTTTTTTCCTAATACGATTGCATGAGACAACTTTATTTTTCGAAAACCAAATCAAAAGTGAATCTTTGGTCGTAGAAGAATTCGTTGAAAGTTGCTCTTTCAGAATATATATGAATTGTTTCAAGACGCAGCCAAATTCTAATAGATTTATTGAAAAAAGGTGTTTTTCAAGAAGTCCACTCGTCGTCAACAAAAATTTCACTTCAAATGATCTACGCTACGACGAAAGAACCTTATATGAAAGCCGTCGATCGAGCTCATCTTTCACTCGTATGTAAGACTTAGCGAGACTAGAAATGTCATAGCAGAAAAATCGAATGGAAGAATATTGACTCAAAACTTTGTTTATGTAAATAGGTTTCACAGCCAATACAACGCCCTGAAAATTTTAATCGAAATAGCTGAGTTTTTCTACATATATGCACTGTTCAAAAATAAAAGATTTGATTTGCTTCCGTTTCTATGGATTAGCACGTTTTTCTTCATTTAATATTTGTAGACACCATCATTCACTTCTATTAATACTTTTAGAACAGTGTATTGGCTGTGAAACCAGTTTGTACACAGACTTCCCGATTAATATTCCTTTGTCCGGTATTCCTGTTTATACCAAGACTAGTGGCGGCGCGAGACTACTAGCGCCCCTCTTGTTTTGGGTGGGCAGTAGAAGGTGGCGCC